ATTAAAAAAAAAATTGTGTAATACTTATAATATATCAGTGATTTAAGTATTCATTTTTCTTTGTAGTGACAAAAAAATAACAAAAAATGAAAATTATACATGAATGAAAAGTTTTTAATCTTAAACTAAAGAAATGATTCTTCTAAAGGAAAAACAAAAAACTGGCAAATATATTTTATATAGAAATAAATATGTAAATTTACATTTTATAATAATCACAAGATTTAGGATTTAATTTTTACTTTATCTATATCAACGTAATGTATTTTTTTTTTTTAATTTAACAATTGATATTGTTATCCGAATAGAAATTCGATAACTAATTTAAACATCAGTATATTCATCTCGGATAATATATTTCGAATTGAAGTATATAAATCTAATTAATCAAATCTATCAAGAATGATCTTGTTTGAAGTAGAATTAAACTTAAAATTCAACAATTACTACTTATGATTCATATGGTTCATATCTTCAACCACACCATTTAATTTCTGTTTAGATAATTTAATAAGAAAATAGCATGTGTTTAATTAGTTAAAAAATTTATTATTATAAATGACTGTTTTTCGTTTGTTAAAAATATTTTGTTTCCGTCATTTGGCAAAATTATGTATCTATAAGGATTAAATGTAATAATTTATTATTAATAAAAAAAATTAAAACAAGAGAGAAAAATGATTGGTTTCTTCATTTCACCAACCAAGAAGATGTGTTGGGGTTGGTGGTATGGTCAAGCAGAGTTGGTGTGGAAAGTTGGTATAAGGATCCGACCCGACCTGACCCATGTCAGATCATTCACCTACTCCGGTTCGGTTCACCAACCCCATGGATTGTACCGTCGATCCGGTTTACTCCCCACCTCAAATCTCTTATCCAGACGGATGTAATTGAATGAATTTGCCAGTGGGCTTGTTTTAAATTTTATTGGGCCGTACTTTAGTATAACTATAAGCCCATTTGTAAGTACTAATTAGTTAATTAGTGTGTTATATGCTAATTAGTGTCTAATGTCTATTATTATTTGCAATAATTGATTTTTTTTATATATATAT